TGCTGCCACCTCATTCCTTGGCCACCATTTCTTGAAAACCTCCCAAACTTCCACTTTTCTTGTTAATCTTCTTCATCTAAACACTTGACTTGGTGTGGGTTAGCATTGTGAGGGAGAGGAGTGCCTCATTTCTGACTTTCAGCCACGGTCTTAGGAGGGTGTGGGCTGAGTTCCATGGCTTGAGTTGTTGAAGCCATTTTCTTGGTAGTTGGTACTCCAAGAAGCAATCTTCGTGAAGAAAGGAACGTCTTGAAGCTCATTTTCGTGTATCCTTGGAGTCAGCACCTTGGAGCTGACTTGAGAGCTCCAAGAGCATCCCTCTTGTTCTGTTTTGAGCCTTGGGTATGTTCTTGAACCTTTGATCATGAGTTTCCTTATTGAAAGAAGAGTCTTGACGTGTAAAATGAGTTGTATAGGTAACCAACATGAACATGAACCTAAATGTTTATAAAAATGCATGCTTGGACGTTAATATGGGTTAAAAGTTGAACCTTGGGAGTGATATCTCGCGAAATGCAGAAACTGCATTCTTTCGCGAAATATCCGGATATGATATCCGGATATGATATCTGGATATGGATATCCGAATATGGACCCGACATATATCCGAATTTTTTAGAAATTTCGAGACAGTGACGGTTCTATTCATACAGAACTGTATTATGGGTTTGTGGACCCATGATTGGTTAAGTTGGACCTCTGTAATAATTAACTAAGTCAAAATCAATGGGATTAAGGTCTGAAGACTTTGGGAGAAGTCAAATGGCATGAAACAGTAAAGAGAATGTTGTCATTATGTCATGAACTCTTAGATTATAAATATCGATATGGTTGCTGGTCTAAACAGATTGTGATTGTGCTGTTTGTGGACCTTGAGCTAGTGTGGGCTTTGGCTTAGATTGATCGCTTAAGAGGTAAGCTTTCGTGTCCTTGGTTTTGCCATTGTTGGTTCCACCATACCCCATGGGGGGATGATTTATATGCATGATGTTGTTTTATGAAATGTTGGTTTATTGAAATGCTATTAAGCTATTAAGTGTAAATGCCTTATGATATCCATGTGTTGTTCCACCTAGACGGTAAGCCTGAGTATGTGGCATCATACAAGATGGTGATTCTGTGGGTGGAGTGCAAGTGGCATCTTGCACTGATTGTAGGTCGTAGACGTATGTAATTCCTGCATGTTCTCTGGCCAGTAAGATTTTGACACACATAACATGATTATATATTGTATTGCAATGATTTTGGAACTTATATTGCACATGTAAGTAAGCTTGGGGTGGAGAGATCCTTGAGGACCCCTTGTCTTACTAATATTTATTTTTAGAGATCTCACTCCACGTTTGGGGCACATTTTCAGGTTCAGGTACCTTAGGGGCTGATACCTCGGGTGGCAGGAGGCCGGAGCTTAGTTGATTGATGTATGTTGTTATTACTGATTTGTCTGGTTGCTGACTATGCTTTACCTTCATGATACTGTTATATTGTTATCTTTGTTGAATTAAAATCCATATGTAATTAATGTTTTTTAAAAAATTAAAAATATTATTTTCGACGGAATTCTATATAAATTCTGTTGCAAACGGTTAAGAATTTTTAATGGAATTTCATTTCGTTGAAATTTTCAACGGAATTATAGATAAATTCCGTTGCAAACTATTACAGAACTTTTGGACGGAATTTTTTTTACGTTGAAATTTTCAACGGAATTATAGATAAATTCCGTTGCAAACTAACTTTTCGACAGAATCATTTTCCGTTGAAATTATAGACGAAATAATAGATAAATTCCGTTGAATTTTACAACGGAATTTTTTCACAGAGATATTTTATGTTGCAATTATCGACTGAATTATAGTAAAATTTCGTTGCAAATTGAGACATAATTTTTTGACAAATATATTTTTCGTTGAAATTTTCGACGGAATTTATTATTTTAATATTATGTCATGACTTTATTTATTGACGGAAAAGTAAGGCTTCCAACAGAATACATTCCGTCGAATTTTCGGAAAAAAAAATTCCGTTGCCTTACAACGAAGGATTATCCAACAAAAGAATTCCGTCGAAAATTCCGTGAAAAAATGATTTTTCAACGGAATTTTCATACTTTGCAACGGAAAATTTCTATTGAAAATATTAATATTTCTAGTAGTGACCAAGCTTGCGGCCATGTTGAGTTTGAAGATATGACGATGCGAACAATTGAAGTGTTCAAAGTGTAGCTTCCAAGAGATCAAGTGAAGACCGTGGTATTACATGTTTAAAATTAATGTTACATCTTGGTGTTATTATTTACTTGGGATTTTAATCTTATGCTGCGAGATTACATTTGTCATGTCATAGGTAACACCCTACACGTAAAATTCCTATTAAAAGGAGAAAATAAATAATATTAAATTATAAATTAAGGAAACTTTGGGGTAGCACGTGATGTGTGCCATTTAGCTATAGTGAAATCAGTCTTATGGGATAAAAAAATTACTCAACAACTCTCCAAAATTCAAACGATAAGAATGAAATTCTCCTTTACTACTCTTCTTGATGACTCTATGGTTAACAACTTTTGAATTAAAATGACCCCACCTCTATTCTCTTTACTAGAGACCTTGCATGCTGTCACAAATGGACGAAATGAGGAAGGAGAATGTTCTTAAAGAGAATGAGGCATGAGTTACATTTTAAGGTCTAAGTGAGTACAAGTTGGTAAGCATTTAAGTATGCTTTTATTGCATGTTGTTCCCAAGTATAATATAAAGGAATGGAGTAAATAAAAATCCCTTCCTTGCTCGTAGGAATTCTACCAATATTTTGTAAGGAGGAACAGTCAAAAACATTTTTAAAGCTCTGAAGTTTAGATCAGAGAAGGAGTACTAGAAGCTGAATTTGGGTTCAAGAACTACAAGGTAAACCTAGGGAAAACTTGTTCTCTTTCCCCTTAATACATTCAACCAATATGTTGTTTTAGGCTTTTAGCCTTGGGGTATGACTTGAGTGAAATTCATTTGATTGTGGTAGAAGATTATGTGAATGTTGTCTATGCGTATCAGCATATGATGAATACAAGGCTTATGCCCTTATGTATGCATTTTTCTCCTCCATGCAGACTTAACCTCTTTTAGAAAATAACTTAAGCGTTGGTATCGTTACACACCTCTTAAGCATTGGACACGCTGAATTTTATAAAAATTGCCTCTGAGACACCGACACGCTCCGACACATGGTCAATATTTTGGGACATGTGATCAATTTTTCAACACGTTTTTTTGACATGCAGTCAACTTTTTTAGACACACATCCGAGTGTTTTTTTTTGTTTTAGGTCTTAATTTTAATTTATTAACTAAACATAAAAATAATAATTTATAAATCATTTTTTCTGTTATGAAATTTGACATGAAAAATTAACAAGGTACGAAAAATTATTTTTGTTTATATTTATGTTATGAAATTTGAATATTTAATTGGTTATATGACTTATTATGAGCTGTTATATGTATTAAATATAAATTATATAATACATATTAAAAATATTATTTAATATTAAAATGTGTACCAACATGTCGAAAGATAACATTTTTTAGAATTAACATATCGGCGTATCATGATATGTCGTGTCTCGTGTCAGTGTCGATACAATATAGTTACACAATACCTGTCACCCGCGGAAAACTTCCTAATACATACAAGTGATACAACCCCTCCAATCTCCATTACGGAAAATACTATTGCTGCATTGAGTGTTTATTGTGACGGTCATATTTGTATTATGTATATTTTTAAGAATAAATAGTGTAGATATTAAAAAAAAAAATCTCCACAGAAATTATCGATTGATGTGGAGAGAATTTTTTTTTTTTAATTTTTTCATTATATATTCCTAAAATATATAATATAAATGGGTTCGTTGTTTCTCCTTTCGCTGCTGATAAGAAAAGTTGCAGCAAATTATTAACACTAGGATAGGGGTCATATCCTGACCTAAAAAAAAAAAACACATCAGGATTCAGACGCGTATCCTAAGAAAAATAAGTGTTACTGTATTTTTTCTCATCTGCCGTGACAGAAGAAGTATATAACCGAATATAAATATAATCATTGTATTGAACACTCAATCTGACGGTACTAAAAAAATGCTTTCCTCTGTTACCGATTAATGAACACAAAATCCCAAACAATGCCCCCCAAGAAAGAATAAATCTTTGGTGCTATTATTGCATCAAAGATTCAGTGCATTCTATCAATAAAAATATTACATGTCAATCAATTTTTTTTTCTGCCAAATTATTTCTCTCTCCCTCTGATAAGTCAATTTTTTTTTTTGCCAAATTATTTCTCTCTCCCTCTAATATATAATACTTCTATTAGTGAGATGCAGGTACATGTACAAGAGATGTACCTAAGATTTATTCCCCACAACTTTTCTAGAATTTTCCATGTTAGACCTGTGTCTCGTATGTCTTAACACGTGCGTGCTTCTTAGTGCCCATTTGTTTGCACTTTTAAAAAAAGTAACTTTTATTTCTTCCTTATTTTAGAAGTCCTTTTTACAAAAGTTAAAGCTATTTATATTTTTATAAAAATATTTAGATTTTAAAAAAATATTTGACTTTTGACTTCTACTTTTTTAGAAGTTAAAATTTTAGCTTCAGAATAAAGTAAGTTTTTAACTTTTTTTGTGACTTCTGCTTTTTTTAAAAGCAGACATCCAAACGAATTAAAAATAAAAAGTACTTTTTTTCAACAAAAAAAATAACTTTTGGAGAAAAAAAAAAAACTATCCAAACGAGCCATTAAAGTCCTGCGTCTACCCGTAGAGGAGGGGGGAGGGCAAAAAATTCTTCTTTTGTCGTTTGATTATTGCTTGTATTTTTATTTTATTTTTGGTAATCTATTGCTTGTATTTTTAAAACCGCAGTGAAAGTGGCGGCAGTAAAATAAGCAACGAGGAATCTCCTTCAATTTGGGAACTAACAAAAGCAATATATTTAGATACTTCATACTTGGGTTTTAGATTGTGCGAAATTAGGGTTCTTTCTGTTTTTGCGGAAAGAACACAATAGATGGATAACAGTAGCTTGGAGCACACTGTGCAAGATGGCAAACTCTACAGGCACCTCAATTCTCTAATCGTTGCTCATCTTCGTGACAACAATCTCACCCAGGCAAACCTCTATTTCATTTACCATTATTTGCTCAATTTGTTAATTGCAAGTCACAAACCTAAAGTTGATCTTTTTATTTTTCAACTTCAATCTTGCTATTATTATAGATGAATGAACTATTTTAAAATTCATTTTTTTTTATTAGGCTGCAAGTGCTGTTGCTTCAGCAACTATGACACCACTGAATGTGGAAGCTCCACCTAACAAGCTTCTTGAGCTGTTTGCTAAGGTTGTTAGTTATTTACTTGTGCACGTGTTGTGTGTTATCTTATCACACTCTTTTGTGTAAGCATGAGGAAGATTTTTGTTCTAAGGAAATTACAGGGTCTTGCAGCGGAAAAAGATGACATGATAAAAGGGACTTCATCTTCTCCCTTTCGCAATTTGGGTGCATCATTGCCGGTGCCTCATCCCAGCACAACAGCCGTTGATTTCAGGCAAACTTTTTACTCTTGTTTTGCATTTGAAGTTAATTAAACAGCATTTAGTTTCTCATTTATCAATGCCAGTTATGAGTTATGACTTTTTATGACAATTGGGCAGGGTGGGGGGAGGGGGATTCTGTCCCTGTAATGAGTCCCTTCCTATTCCCCCTGTACCTGAACTTCCAAATGTGATGCTATGAAGGATTCCTGTTTATATGTTTGTTTCTCAAAGAATACTGAAGGATGATTAACATTTGATTCCCTAGGCATTATGGAGGATTATTGCTTTGACTTTTAATCCTGTATTTATTTATTTATTTATTTTTACCTTTATTAAAACTTGTAATGGAATAGCAGATGAGACATATCTATTTTTAGTGAGTAAGCATGTAAATTGTAATACATTTTATCAAGACCTAATATATCATGCATTTCCTTTCATTGGAAAATAAATAAAGTGAAATGTTGAACATGCAAATTTGTTAGGCTATACAACGATATGCTTTTGGATAGTTTTTACTTGGAGGTGTGTTTCTTTTTACCCTTTATTTTTTGGTTGTAGAACTAGAAAAGAATGATCTAATGAAAACAGACCACAGATTTGAACCCATCTTTAGATCAATAAAGACTTCTAATTTGTTATATTTCATTTTGGTCTAATGTCACTTAGAACTATACTTTGAAGTTCCTTCATTTTAATATAGCAAATAGAATAGGGATAAAGTTAAGTCATTCTTAGATGATATACTCTCAAAAACAACCCTTGAAAATTGCGTTTGTTATAACAGCTCTGTGCCAGATATTAAAGGTTCATCAAAGAGCTTCCCAAAGCATGAAACACGACACCTTTCAGAACACAAGGTATGTAATATGCTTTAATAACATATATGCAATCCCTACTGATAAGCATTTGCTTTCTAACTGTTATCTATTTTTTGGACTGATTGGCTTAATTTCTAGAATATTGCCAGATGTGCTAGGTTTAGTCCTGATGGAAGGTTTGTTGCCACTGGAAGTGCAGATACATCAATAAAGCTATTTGAGGTGCTGATTTATTATTTGGATGTATTGCTCTTTCTTTGACATGAATCTCAAATTTATGCTTCCATCTACTTGGCAGGTTTCAAAGATCAAGCAAATGTTGCTCCCAGATGCAAAGGATGGTCCTGTGCGACCTGTCATACGAACATATTATGACCATATACAAGTATATTTTAATTTTTCCAAGTTCTGTGGAATTTATTATGTGAAACTGTTTCTTCTATTCAAAATTGATACAGTCGTATGATTTAAGACTAGTAATTGACCTCTGCACTGATTCTTGATGTTGACTTGGTTTCATGACGGCGGTGTATTTTTTAATGCCAAATAACTAGTTTTTATATGAGCTTGAAAATATTATAGATTGTTAATTATTAGTTTAAAAGTCTAACGTTATTCAACTGTTTATGCTTACTATGTAGGAAGATGCCTAGTTAGCATGCCTCTCTCTGAATTGGATCATTAGTTTATGATGGTCTGCACATTTACTAGTAACTGAAACCGTATGGTTATTTTTATGAGATTTATTATTTTCAATCATATTTCACCAGACCTGTGGAAGTTCGTAATTCAAAATTATTGTTAACTTGATGAATTTACTTAGTTCAAAACGTTATATATCAACATGCCAACTTCTATCTGTCTTTGTTGCAGTGGAGTTTTTTTTTTTTTATTTAACAACATTAATCTTGCTTGCTTTAATATTAATGAGTTTTAGCTGATGCTTCTTTTAACTTATCCTATTAGCCATTTACTTTTTAAAATGCAAATTTTATAAAATGATCCTGAGATACCGTCCTTGTATATTTGATTTTTTATTTCTATTTTTTTTATAACACAAAACTGCAGCCAATAAATGATCTGGATTTTCATCCACAAGGTACTGTCTTGATTTCTGGAGCCAAAGATCAAACAATAAAGTACGATCTCTTGTAGTCAACTATGTAATTTTTGTTCTGTAACATGTATCTCATCTGTATTCTTTTTTCATGTTTCTGTCCTTTTTATTTTGGAAATGCTCTTACATTTTGACATGCTGGTTTAATATCGTTTAGGTTTTTTGATATTTCAAAACCCAATGCAAAGAGAGCATACAGGGTTATCCAGGTTGTGCTATCCTGCATTTAATCATTAGCAGCAAATGAGCAAATATAAGAATTAAGTATAAACTACCATTTTTGTTGATTCTGTTCTGCAGGACACACACAATGTTCGCTCAGTATCTTTTCATCCTTCTGGGGACTTTGTGCTGGCAGGTATTTATTTTTATCACATCTTTCCCTGTGAAGCTTTATGATCTGCTAATTGTATCCTTTTCTTTACTGAAATGAATTTGATCTCCATTTCTGTGTTGTTGTATTTCTTAATGGTATGTAAATTAGCAATTACATACATCTTGCTCTAATATAGTTGCTATAGAAATATATTAATTATAATGTATGAATGTATTGTATTCAATTGTATAAAACTGTACAAGAGTCCTCTATTTAAAGAGGTTAAATGACCTAATGGGCTAAGCCCAAATAACCTTCTAGAATAATAAACTAATAATAATAAAACTAATATTATTTCTAACACTCCCCCTCAAGCTGGTTCGTATATATCATAAGCACCTAGCTTGTTACATATATGATCTATTCGGGGACCTCTAAGAGCCTTGGTGAAAACATCGACAAGTTGATCACTGGAATTGACAAATGCTGTCTTGATCTCGCCTGACTGAATCTTCTCTCTAACAAAGTGACAATCAATTTCTATATGTTTAGTCCTCTCATGAAAGATTGGGTTAGAGGATATGTGCAATGCGGCTTGATTGTCACAAATGAGTTTCATGGGCCGTTGTTCACAGAGATGTAATTCCTTAAGCAATTGCTTTAGCCAGATGAGCTCACAGGTCGCATTTCCCATGGCCCGATATTCTGCCTCTGCACTTGATCTGGCAACCACAGTTTGCTTCTTACTCTTCCAAGAGATCAAATTTCCTCCGAGGAGAACACAATACCCCGAGGTGGATTGTCTGTCTGAAGGAGAACCTGCCCAGTCAGCATCTGAATAGCTAGACACTTATGCATTCTCCTTATTAGTGTATAATAAACCTCTTCCTGGTGCCTTTTTGATATATCGAAGAATCCTGATAACTGCATCCCAATGAGAGTCACAAGGAGAGTCAAGGAATTGACTTGCCACACTAACTGAAAAAGAGATGTCTGGTCTTGTCACAGTAAGATAGTTCAACTTTCCAACTAGTCGGCGGTAACGACCAGGGTCTGCCAATGGCTCCCCCTGTCCAGATAATAACTTAATATTAGGATCCATAGGTGTATCAATGGGTTTACATCCCAACATACCAATCTCATCTAAGATATCCCGTGCATACTTCCTTTGACAAATGGAAATGCCCTTCCTAGACTGTGCTACTTCGATTCCTAAGAAATATCGAAGTCTGCTAAGATCTTTGGTCTGAAACTGATTGAATAAGTACTTCTTTAACTGATCAATCCCAGCTTGATCGCTGCCAGTAATAATGATGTCATCAACATAGACCAGGAGATAGATGCGCTGGCCAGAAGAGCTATGCCGATAGAAGACAGAATGATCCGCTTTACTTCGGGTTAAACCGAAGGATTGAACAACGGAACTGAAGCGACTAAACCAGGCCCGAGGAGACTACTTCAGGCCATATAAAATTTACGAAGCTTGCATACCATGCCAGAACTCTCCCCCTGAGCAACAAAACCTGGTGGTTGCTCCATATATACTTCCTCTTGCAAGTCACCATGTAAGAATGCATTTTTGATATCAAGTTGTAGAAGAGGCCATTGATGAATGGCAGCAAGTGCAAGAAATAGGCGAATAGATGCCATCTTGGCAACAGGAGAAAAAGTATCCACATAGTCAAGACCAAATATCTGAGTGTATCCCTTGACCACCAAACGAGCTTTGAGGCGATCAACAGTGCCATCAGGACCAACTTTGACAGTGAATACCCATCGACAACCGACAACTGACTTTTCAAGAATAGCATGAACAAGATCCCATGTGCCACTGGAGTGAAGTGCTTGCATTTCATCAATCATTGCTTGACGCCAACCCGGATGAGAGAGTGCTTCACCTGTGGTTTTAGGAATAGAAATAGACGAAATACTAGAAACAAAAGTAAAATGCGGTGAAGAAAGTCTATCATAACTCAAGAAACTATAAAGTGGATGAGGGTTACGAGTGGATCGAATACCTTTGCGAAGGGCAATGGGAGTAATCTCTGATGGAGGATCCGGAGGGGAAGTGTCGACAGCAGCAGGCGGTGAGTCAGTAAGGGTCAAATCCGCTGGAGGCGCAGGCTGACGACGTTGATAGGTGAGAAAAGGACGGTCCGCAGGGATGGAGGCAAGGGGCTGCTCCTCCGGGATAGAGTCTCCTGCAACTGGTAAAGACAAATCAAGAAAAGGAACAGGAAGAACTTGATCAACTTGTGTTATCTGAGATGGGATAAAATGAAAAGGTTGTTGATCAAGGAAAGTGACATCAGCCGAGACAATATAACGATTGCGATCAGGAGAGTAGCAACGATACCCCTTTTGAAAACGAGTATATCCAAGGAAAATACACTTGAAGGCTTTGGATGTTAATTTATCTTTTCCTGGAGTAAGATCATGAACAAAGCAGGTACATCCAAATACATGTGGAGGTAGAGAATAGGAAGGTGCTCCTGGAAATAAAACACTAAGTGGAACTTCGTTATTGAGTACGGAAGAGGGCATGCGATTGATGAGAAAGCAAGAGGTGATTATAGCATCTGCCCAAAAACGAAGTGGAACATTCATATGAATTAGTAGGGTACGAGCAGTTTCAACCAGATGTCGATTCTTACGTTTGGCCACTCCATTTTGTTGTGGAGTGTGTGGACAAGTGGTCTGGTGTAACGTCCCACGTTTTTCCAAAAAATTAGAAAACTCAAGAGACACATATTCTTTTGCATTATCACTGCGCAAAATTTGAATAGAAGCACCAAATTGAGTATTTATCTCGGCACAAATTTTTTGATAAATTGAAAATAATTCAGAACGATTTTTCATTAAATAAACTCAAGTGCAACGAGAGAAATCATCAATAAAGGTGACAAAATACTGAAAACCCAAAACAGACATTGTTCGACTCGGACCCCAAATATCAGAATGAACAATAGAAAAAGGAGCATCAACTCTTTTATTGACTCTATTAGCAAAGGAGGAGCGAGTGTGCTTTCCTTGCTGACAAGAATGACAGTTTAAAGACTTAAGACTGGATAAAAAGGAAACATATGCCGAAGCTTGGAGAGGCTTGGATGAACCAGACGGCTGTGAATTAGCTCAGGAGACTCTGTGAGATAACAGGCTACTGGAGAAGGTGGTGCAATCAGATAGTAGAGACCTCGTGACTCAATGCCCGCTCCAATCGTCTTCCCCGTACCCGAATCCTGCATAGAAAAGGATTGTTTAGAGAAGGTAACAGTACATGAAAGAGAATGAATCAACTGGCTAACAGAGATTAAATTAAAAGGAATGCCAGGTATATAATAAACAGAACGCAAAGTTAAAAGGGGAGTTGGATTGGCTTCCCAATTCCACGAGCAAGAGCCTTGGTGCCATCAGCAAGAGTGACAGAGGGTAGGTTATTAGAATAAGAAAGTGAAGTGAAGAGATTTTATTACCACAAAGATGATGAGTAGCACCTGAGTCTATTATCCAGGGTCCAAGAGATGATTGATAAAAACAAGCAACATGATTGCCAGTGTCTTGAGTAGGATGCTGAGAAGAAACCTTCTTGAGAAGTGCCTCATAGTCGGCACTTGAAAGAGTTACTAGTCCAGTAGAAGGTGGTGTAGCATCAGTTTGAGCAAAGTTGGCAGTCAGTGGCTTCAAATGAGGGTACTTCCTATAGCAGTGTTCTTCAAAATGCCCAAGATTCTGGCAATAATTGCAACGAGGCCTCTGTCGGCGGCCATGTCTGCGACTGCGTCCACTGTTCCAATTGGAATCACTGGCTCGAGAAAAGAATGGAGATGGGGTAGTACTGGAGATGATGCCAGTCGTGTTTTTGGATGCATTACTTGAGCCTTCCATCACAAAATAAAATAAAGGAGATGACCAAATCTGAAAATAGGAGAGGAAGGCGAGCGGTTCTGTCTCGGAATGGCCGGAATTTTTTTTTTTTGCGTGAACAGTAAAACTGTACGGACGTGGTGAACAGTAAAACGTACGGACGGTGAATAGTAAATCTGTACGGAACGGATGAACAATGCAGCTGTACGGGGACGATATGAACAGTGGGTCGTACGGACGATGAACAGTATATATATGTACGGACTGTACGGACGCGGTGAACAGTATTTTTTTAAAAAAAAACCCGCGTGAACAGTGTAGAACCAAGCCGGAGGGACGCACGGCGTTAGAGGAAGGAGAGAACACCTAAGCAGTGGTCTTAGGGTTTTAGCGGAAGCGAAAAATCCTCAGACAAAGAGCTCTGGTACCAAATTTTAATGTATGAATGTATTGTATTCAATTGTATAAAACTGTACAAGAGTCCTCTATTTAAAGAGGTTAAATAACCTAATGGGCTAAGCCCAAATAATCTTCTAGAATAATAAACTAATAATAATAAAACTAATATTATTTCTAACAATATTCATTGAATATATTCACCCTTCAGTGTCAAATATTATCTGTATGCAACCAAACTTAGGAAGTCACATGTGCTAGTGAACTACTTTTGGTTGGTGTGAATACCTTATCTGAGCTTAGGTAATAGCTCAGAAATGCACCTGTTTTTCTTGTCGCCATATGACCCAGAGGTCATTGGCTTGAATCATGTAATTAACCTCCTGCAAATGCAAGGTAAGCCTACCTATTATAGATCCACGCAATGTGTTTAACCCTTCCCTGGACCTTGTTTAGAGCAGGAGCTTTATAGCTCCAGGTTGCCCTTTTAATATTTTTGTGAATCCACTCTTATTTCTAAGCTTAGGTTATAGCTTTGTGTAATTTGAATGATTTTCTGTTTATAGGCATTTGATATTGAGTGCCATGGATGACTTATTGATAATATGACTATAAAGGGGGCATCCCTATCTTTGTTTCTAGATCAACTCTCAGTCAACATTCTTGTTTTCTTCCTATATTTTTTCACAAAAAAAAAAAAATGAACAAAATCAAAGATGATAAATATCAATTTCTGACAGGAACTGATCATGCAATTCCACATTTGTATGATATAAATACATTTCAGTGTTATCTAGCAGCAAATATCCCAGAGATTGGCCCTAATGGAGCCATAAATCAGGCATGCCAATTCTTTCTTGTTCAAAAATTGTGGATTGCCTCTATTTTACTTTCTTTGATGCTACAATGATGCCAACCATTTCTATGTCTTATTTTTTAGGTCAGATATTCTTGTACAGGTGCCATGTATGTTACAGCATCTAAAGATGGTGCTATTCGGTTGTGGGATGGCATCACTGCCAATTGTGTGCGCTCAATAACTGGAGCTCATGGAACTGCTGAGGCTACCAGTGCAATTTTTACAAAAGATCAAAGGTATAAATACATTTTGGGGCAAATATTAGACAAAGTGACAAACACATGCGTTGATGCACTAACAGACCATGAGAATAATAGTGCCACTGTCAGCTGCTTCGAGTTATGAGATGTGGCTCCTCTAAAGTGTGAGGTGCACTTTCGATGGAAAAAGTGTGTCTCAAGAATAATGATGTGGTGCTAATGTTGACTTTGAAGACGCAGATGAAAATTGTTGGCTTTGAAGTGTGTGCTTCCCTCGTAATTCCAGACCTTAGTGTTCTCACTTAACATCAGAATTAACAGTCTGCAATGAATGTCCTGTTTACTATATAATACACATTAAGAGCTTGTGTTTTCCTCAATGCAATTTTTGCTTTAGCTGGAAGCAAACTCACCATCCAAAAAAAATAAATAAATAATAATAATATATATATAAGATAAGTGTTATGGCATTCTTTACTAGTTCATTTCTTTTGACGTAGTGGACATTGCTGCCGATGGCCATTGACCTCCTTGTTACACTTTGCTTTAGTTTTCTGATAGGTTTAGATTGGTGTAGCAATATAACTGTCAGTTTTCTAGGTTTGTCCTCTCCTGCGGGAAGGATTCTACCATAAAGCTTTGGGAAGTTGGCTCTGGAAGATTAGTCAAACAATATCTTGGAGCCATACATACACAGCTAAGATGCCAGGTACATGGATATCTGCTATTTAGTATTCTTCTCAAATTAATCTTGGTCAACTCATATACTAATAAGCCAACCTTCTGGTATTAGTGATTCAGGTGCTTGGATTTTTCTCTTGATTTATTGTTCACAATCGCAAGTGATTATGTTTCTTTCTTTTCTTTTCTTTTTTTCTTTTTTTGTTATTTGGTGCATTGGGAATAGTTATCACAACTTGCACAAAACCTCTGTCCAAATCTCTAATCACCTGAGCCTAAGTCCAGGTGGCATTATCGTCCATATTCTTATAGTTACCGTTCTGTGAGCACTCTTTGCAGGCAATTTTTAACGAGACAGAAGAATTTATTCTATCCATAGATGAACTGAGCAATGAGGTTTGTTCAGCTGTGTACTGTGTGGTGGTGTTGGCTTTTTCAACTGGATTTTATTTGAGGAATCTTGTGTACATTGCAGATCGTTATATGGGATGCGATGACAACAGAAAAAGTAGCAAAGTGGCCTTCAAATCATGTTGGTGCACCCCGCTGGCTTGAACACTCACCAATAGAGCCTGCTTTTATTTCCTGTGGAACTGATAGGTCTGTTCGTTTCTGGAAGGAAACTCCATGTTGATCAACTGCAAGGAGGCTGAATCCCTATACAGGCGTTAATTATAGAGATCACTGAATGAACATTAACTCAGAAAATTTCGCCTGTTTTTTGTTCAATTTCTGGTAATAGCTTCATGGCACGATTCATATAATTTATGGGTTAAGTGAATATAATGTTGCAGGAACATAAAACACCCTCTTAGTGACACATTAAAAGGTGAGCCATCATTATTATTTTTTAATTTTTTTTTAAACAGTGGGGTCCAAGAACTGTCTCTATCATGTATCATGTCCTGTAACATTATGCATATATTTCACATAATATATTATGGCCAACTTATATTTCTTTTGCCTTCCTTCCCATCATTCCACAAGGTGCTTATTTAACATTTTCTTAATTAGCCAAGAAATATGAGAATTACATGCTCTGGATTGAAGCATGAAAGGAAATGTTGAGCACAGTGAAGAGAAAGGGAAAAATAAAAAATAATATCAATCAGTGATCTTATTGCTTGGTTGTTGTGAATACTGCAATAGCACACTTAATTGAAAGATTTTATGACCCAACCAAGGGAAAGATTCTGCTAAATGGGGTTCCTCTGGTAGAAATATTACACAAGCATTTCCCCATATGGATATGTAGATTGAGAATAATTATATTGCCTACCTATTTAATTTTTTTACTCATTATCTTTTTATTACCATTGATTATATTTAAATCAACGATGATAAATAATTGGTGTAATTGGTTGAAAAAAATAAAGGAGAGGTAAATAAAATAAAAAATATTATTATATTTGAGATCAAAAATAATAATATTAAATACAATCAACGGTGATAAAAGAAAAAGAAAAAGATAGGAAGATAAAATATCATAACTATTTGTAGTTGTTTGTGCTTAAAATTAAGGGAAATAATACTCTTATGCTACATAAGAGTACATCATTTTCCTACACTAATTCGTTTTCCGTGCCAATTAATTTTTCTTTTCTTTTTTAATATAAAATATGGGACCCACATTTAATTTCTCTCTACTTTTTTTATCTCCTACAATCCTACAACATAAGAAAACTTAAACCCTAAAATTAATTACTAGAAAGTTATTTTTTTTCCATTGAATGAATTAATAGCTAGTAACATGAACGGGGACCGTGTATTGGGAAGTTAAGTTGGTGGCACTGCAACAACTCCTCCTTAGGACACAACATATATTTACAACATTTAAGCAGATTATTGACACAAGCATCAACTTCAAGACATTATATACAGTATTAACGATTTAGTTAATTTAGCCTTATTGTTGTTCCATGCTTTTTAGTTTTAGAAACCCGTGGATCTTGCATATCACCTATTACAATGCATGACAACAACGTAATTAAGCATGAGATAATGAGATCTAAAATTCGGTGTTTCTATAATTTGATTAGTGCAGTAAAGCCCAAGCTAACAGAAGAAATTGAACTCTCCAAATTACAATTTATTTTGTGATTTTGATAGCTAAAATGTAATGTAATTTGCTCTTTGATTCGTAGATCATTATAGTGAGTCAGGAGCCGGTACTTCCACAGAGGACATAGCTTATGGATTTAATGGCAAAGTTAGGGCCATTTAGGTGGGCTTTAAAATAAATCTTTTATTGCTTTTTCTTAAAAAGACTTTTTTTAAGTCAGAATTATTTTGTGTTTCGATTAATATATAAAAAATATTTTTAAGTAAAAAATACTGTTGGTTCTTTTTTTTAAAAAGCCAGAGGCATTATAACTAAGGAAAAAACGTTTGTTCTTTTTTTTTTGTTACATGAGTATTTGTCCTTTTAAATGACACGACTTGTGTTATTTTACTCTCACAAAGAGATAGAACTCATATTTTTTTTTGTTCATTCTCTCTCTTCCATGATTTATCTCTTTCATTCACTTAAAATGACACCACTTTACATCCTTTAAAATGACATACGCTTTTTCTATGACTTTTCCCTATAACTAATAGTACAAGTTAATTGTACTTTTTCAACTCTCTCAAAATGGAATCTATTCCTAATATATATACTGTGGTTCCTTACTTCGACAAGGTACAAATATCTAAATTTCATATTTTTAAATACTTTTTCAGGCCTATTGCGATACTAATACTAAGTAGCCAAAAATTTGTATCCATTTTTCGTGATATTATGCATGGATCAAGGCAGAAATTTTCGATTCCATTCACACAAAAATGCTTGTCATTTAAACTTTTCTCTTTGGAATAATGGGAACATATTCTACGGTAGATAAGAATTTTGAACCTATACATTCCACAATGACAACCATTACCCTAATTCTGTATTTGAATCTGATTAGCATTTGTCACTAATAGTGGTTGCTTTGCTTCAACAGCATTCCGTCCTACACACCACTTCAACTATATAATAGACCACTACGTAGATAGTTATAGCTCTCAGAATTCCAATACGTTAAATAAAAACTGAACAAAGAAGATTGCATCAGACCATTAGTCATTATTAGTGTACCATTGAATAATTAGCACAAAAAGGAAATAACTAATCTTCGTAAGTAGCCTTTAGCATTCTGAAAATATGATACACATTTCCTACACTGGTTGATTTCATAAACAAATCAAAGAATCATAGTTGTTAAATTATCAAATATTAATACAAAGCAGGACAGCTCATCGACTATGCATCCAACCAACAACATACATAGATCAGAGTACCCTCTACTACACCAATGATTCCATGAAGGACTTCATGTTCTTCACATCTTCATCAGTTTCAGGGAACTTCTGTGGTTTAAAGAGTTTCCAAAGTCCAGCTGGATGCTTAATTTTAACTTCAACATTTCCTGAAAATCTTCCATATATTTTTTCACACTCTGGATAGGGCTTGACGTAAAGATTGTAAAATCTAAGCCTAGTGGGCTTGATCATGTCCTTCAATCCAACCTCAAGACCAATTGCACCTTTTGCTTTCAAATACTCCATCACATTGTATCTAGGAACAATCTGTTTTTCAAAATTCACACCCAAGTATTCAGGAACATCAAGCAAACAATCAACACCATATTTCATCCTGTGCACCAAAAACTCAATCTTCTTCTCAATATCCTCCACATCATAAGCAATCAACCTTGGTTCTTTCCACAACACCTTAAAAGCATCTCTACGAATCAAACCATGACCACACAAACAATCCACTCTCAGTTTCACTTCAAAACAAGCCCTGAATAAACCCTCTCCAAAAATCCTCTCTTTGATTGCTTCTCTGCATTTTAAACTCTCCAGCAACTTCAAACACCGCGAAAATTCCCCAATCTCCATTCCCAGAATCCTAGGTTCCCTGACAATCTCTTTTCTAACCTCACGCCCTGAAAACCCCAAACCCTTCAATTCCTGAATCAAGGGCTTCAACCTGTCTTCAACCCCAAATCCCAAAACCCTAGGATACATCCCAACAACTCGATCAACCTCATCACTGGGGACCCCAAACTCTACAAGAAACTCAATCACACAAACAATTTCCCTCTCACTCATCACAACCACACTGGGGAAACCCTCCAAAACCCTAGCCATGACGGCACCAGAAAACCCTAAACCCTTCAAGATCTCAACTTTCCTGGAAATCTCCACTGGGTCTAACTGAAACCTCCTAGAACATTGCAACAAGTTCACGAGCATCAAAGGGGAATGGCTCGGAACCCGTGATTTCAATTCCGAGAAACCCAATTCCCAATTCCTGAGGAATTGGTATTCCAACACTCCGGGGCAGTCGCGTATGAGGGAAACAAGATTCTTCTGGGGAATTCTGAAGGAAAAGAGAGTGGCGAGTGATTTGTGTAAGTGGGCAAGATCGTAATTGAAGAGAAAGGGATTTTGAGAGAGAAAGGTGAGAATGTGGGAAGTGGGAAAACCGTACATTTTGAAGAGATTGGCGAGTGAAATTTGTTTCCTGTAATGAGTGGTGGAGAAACTCAAACTCAAACTAAAACTAGTTCGGAGAATACGCACGTTTCTCCATGCTGCTGTTCCCAGCACCATTGTTGTGTGCTACGGCTCTGTTCTTACCACTCATGCTCTGTTTACTTCCCACAATATCATTTTCTATGTATTGTATAACACACATGGATTGTTTTCCGCGTATTTGATAGCAATTTTGTTGGAATGAATTTTTTTTAAATAATGGGCCTTTTCGTTGGGGAAAAATTATTTTATTGTAATTTGTAAGAACCTGTTCCGTTAATTAAGGAAGTTAATTAATTAATTATGTAAAATTAGAAAATAATTTTATAATTGATCTTAATAATTATGATAAGGCTTAAATAATATTGGTAAGTGATTTATAATGCTGAAAGTCGCTTTTCTGATTAAAAGTGCAGATACCAGTTCTACTACTGAATATAAATACGTACCGACGAAGTATCCCAGAAAATTATGAAAAGTGTGAATATGTCACTAGAATAATATATAGGACTTGTAAAACGAGTTTCAAGTTAAAATAATGAGAACTGGTGCCAGAGTTGATACTGGCTATGGAAAAACGCATATCGGAAAGGTGCTGCGAAAAATAAAATAAAAATATAATAAATCTTTAAAAAATGAGTAGGTTCAGAATCCTAAGTTTGAGATTAAAATGCTAAGCGTAACTATTAGTGCTAATACAAGGTGTTAACACTTAAACCACCTATAAATACTAAGGGCACATAACCCTAGGCTGATCATCAGCCTCCCTACGTGACTCTTATGCTTCCCCATTCTGACTTGGTGTCTTCTCCTCTTGCCACCACCATTTCTTCCATGGAAAACCACCAAATGATCACCTCTTCTCATGGTTCTTCCTTGTAGACATCTAGTGGCTTATGTTGGGTCAGTGAGAGGCATATATTCTAAGTTTGTGTCACTTTCTTGGGAAGTTCTAAGGGATGTGTTCTGAGTTTTCTTGAAGGAGCCATTTTTCCTTGGTTGTGGAAGCTTCAAGTGTTGAACTTTGTGGTGAAAGGGTTATCCTTGCTACACATTTTTGTGTCCCTTGTAGTCTGAACTTTGGGAGCTTCATAGAGAGCTCCAAGAGCCTTTGTTTCTTCTGTTTTGAAGCTTTGGGTATGTTCCCTACCTTGGTCTTGAGTTTCTTTGGTTAAAAATGGAGTCTTGGCATGTTTAATGAGTTATTTAAGTAACTAACCAGTATATGAACCTAAATGGGCTTAAAAATGCATGCTTTAACGTTTAGAAGTGTTAAAAATGGAACCTTGGAAGTGATATCTCGCGAAATGCAGAAACTGAATTCTGTCGCGAAATATCCGGATATTGATATCTGGATATGGGCTCTGTGATTTCCGGATATGCCCCCGACATATATCCGATATTCTGGGTTTTTGAAGAACAATAGCTGTATTGTTCATACAAAAGGCTGTTATGGGTTTGTGGACCCTAGATTGATGAAGTAGGACTTCTGTAGTAATTAATCTAAGTCAGAATTAAGTTATTAAGGGCTTGTGGCTTTGCGAGAAGCCTAAAGACATGAAACGTAAAGGAAAGACATTGTCTTTGTGTCTTACGCTTGTTGAGTATGATTATTGATATGATTGCTGGTCAAAAACAGATTGTTATTCTGCTATGTTTGGGCTTTGAGCTTGTTGGACTCTTGGCTTGGATTGTTAGCTTGCAAGGTAAACTTTCGTGTCCTCGGTTTAGCCATTGTGTAATTCCACCATATCCCATGGGGGAATGGTTTATATGCATGATGTGTTTACATGCTTGATAATTGAAAATGTTGTTGAGCTTTATGTGTGAGGGCTTTTAATATGTATGTGTTGTTCCACTTAGACGGTTAGCCTGAGTATGTGGCGTCATACAAGACGGTGACACTATGGGTGGGTGCAAGTGGCGTCTTGCATTAGTATGAGTAATAGACGTATTCCTGCATCTCTATGGCCAGTAGATTAGTTATGACACACATGACATGATTATTTGCTGCATTGCACTATTTTGGAACTTATATTGTTTAACTATTTTTGGAACTTATATTGCACATGTAAGTGAGCTTGGGGTGGAAGATCCTTGAGGACCCCTTGTCTTACTGAGATTTTTGTTCAGAGATCTCACCCCACGTTTGGGGCGTTTATTTCAGGTTCAGGTAACCCAGGGGTTGAGACCTCTAGCGGCAGGAGGCCGGAGCTTAGTTGATTGACATGTTTGCTGATTATGCTGATGCACCTGCTTAGTGTTTATGCTTTTTCCATTATCATGCTTATAACTTCATTTGATGTTATTGTTGAGACTCTGTTGGCTTTGTCATTTATTTGGTGAGCATGGGGATTGTCCATGCCACGTTGACTTGACTTTATGTTTTTAGTTATGAGTTGTATTAATGTATCAGGATATTGTCCGGACTACGCGTTGTAGATTCGTAACTTAGATACTCACTTATTTATCTATGAGGTATTTCAATTAGCTGTCTTTTGCAATTTACATACCGGCGATGTTTTTATGAGATTGATTAGGTAATCAACTTGGCTAAGTTTAATGACGTCATAATTGAAAAGATATTCCGCACATTTAATTAAGTGTGGCTTAATACGATGACATGTTAACAAACCGGGTATACACGGGGTGTTACATAATTTAAATAAAAAATTACGAATTTGTTGTTGTTTTGAAATTATTTACATATTTATTGCACAATGTCACGTTTTCATTGGACGTCACAAGTCACGTCCAATGTATCACCTCCACGTGGGTCACGCCTGAATGAGGCATGATCTGTGATGCCCAATTTGGGCGTGACATATGCAATATTGATGCCTACATGAGGAGTGAATGGTGCAAATATATCTATTTAAACCCTTATCACTCTACACACTCTTCACAACTCTTCTCCACCATCAATTCTTACTTTTACATACAAAATTATTAGCTTATTCATAGTCTTTTATTTTATTTGTTATTCCATTTAAAAATGAGTTCACATTCTGATTTTGTTCGTGTTATGTTATATTACAATGATAGGAAGGTGGAAGGTCGACGATGTGTAATTTTTGAATGTGAAAAAAGGCCAACACGTATCAAACGCAACTCAACAATTGATGAACTGCATCAGAGAATTCGTCAAAAGTTAACTCTTCAAGGTAACCAATCTATCACTCAGATCACCACAAGGTTATGGCAATCTGAACAATACATTAGTTTGCAAGTGATGGATGCTGAAGACGTCGAGATGATAATGGAAGAATTTTTCAATCAGTCAAGGAAATATTATTTGGAGTTGTATGTGGGCATTGTCGGAGCAGAGGATGTTGTTTTACCGATTAGGTCAGTTGCTTTAAATTATGCACGTCATGCATCCATCTGTTGCTCATGCTTCTCCAATTGTTAACATTTATGAGGGAGATGAAAATGATCCTACTTGGGTTATGCATGACGACTGCGACGATGACGATGATGAAAATATCGCAATGGAAGAACGTCTTCTGGTCAAGGATGCTAGTTATAACACCTCACATTTCTAAAACATGTATTTGTGGATTAAAGGGTAGGATTAGTGAAAATCCTGAAATTAAGGTCAAAATACAAAAGAAGGGTAAAACAGTAATTAGCCAAACACATAATCCTAGGAAAGTAAAATTGAGTATGAGGTCTCAAATGAGAAAACTAACCCTGGAAATGGATTCAGAACGAAAAATTGAGTGGTTAGGCAAGTTTCTGAAAATTTGGTGAATGGTGTTTCTACCGGAAAAAAATACTGCGGTACAGTTGCACCATAAAGCATTCCGAATGAATTTTGAGCTCTAGGCTTGGATATAAGTTATAAATGGTACATAAGACTAAAAATATGATTTCTATTGAAAATTGATTGAAATTAGTGTGTTTGGGGAAGCGTACCCACGGCGCGCATAACAGCTTAAAACTGCGATTTCTCCGAATGACCGGAAAACTCTGGATTCATCTGATCAAGGGTAATTAAAGGACAATGGTTAATGTTAAAAATTAGAGTTTCTAAATAGTTTAAGAAATTATGGACGTTTAGTGGAATAGGCGGAAGATTTGAATTAATTTGAATCGCGTGAGGTGGCAGTGGGACCCACCCCACTTAAGTTATATCATAACACATGGACCAAGACCACTATTCATCATCATCTTTCCCTCCTTCTCTCTCCAAACTCGAGCCCTCCCCCTCCACCATAGCCAAAATGCTTCAAATCTTCTCCTCCTCCAAACTCACTCAATACTAACTCAAATCCAACAAAGTTTGTCATCAAAGTTGAAGGAAATCATCATCCAAACACAACCATGGTAGTCTTGAGCCTTGAAACTCACTAAATTTGGAGAAATGGAAATGGAATGGAAATGACCTATGTGTAGGCATTTCTTGTGAACCAAGCTCGGTGATACTGTGATTTGGAGCGATCAAGCGAATGAGATTATTCAGGTAATTTCTTGGTACTGGGGTTTGATCCTCGTGTGTGCTCCACCATGCCCTTTGAGGGTACTGGTTGGAGGTGTATGTTGGTAATGTAGTATAACATGTTCATGCATTGTTGTATGTTTAGTGGTACACAGGATGTACCGTGTCTCTAGCCAGTAGACTGTTGTCTTCGAGCATTACGAACTTCCACTGGATAGATCTCCATAAGGGAGTTCCAGTTGACCTGGGGTCGTGGTGTCATCCGTAGAGGAGCACACTAGGAAGTCTCAGGTGGATATGGATGGAGGGTGCCTTGGTTGAAGCATGTATATGATGAAAGGGCAATAGGCCTATTCTAGGATTGGATTTATGTTTTAAGTCAAAGAAATGCATGCAAAGGAATTAATGTGATTGAAACAGTTTAAGAGTTGGTAATGTAAATGTTGAATTTGGAAAGTAAGCTTTGATAGAAATCGTGAAGGGTTGTAAGAGCATAAAGACATTGCTGGTCCTTGAGTGCCACCCATGTTTATTAGGTACCATTTGAGGTTAGTTAGATAACACACCTTTAAAGGTGGGATGTGTTGGAAAAACAAAGGAGACTCTGGCGAAATTTCTAGAAATTAGCAAAATTTGGGTGAACCTTGAGAGAGTATATCTCCCTCCACAAAGGTTTAATGAGGACGTGCCATATACTATTTTAAAGCT